CTGTAAGAAGTTTCTCGAGGAAAGAAGCATCTGTTGTTGTCCTACACGTACTGTCAAGCTAGCGTTTTGCCACTGGAAGACTATGGCTGGGCTGTAGTAGATGTGTCAAAATCATAATTTGGGAAAAGGAAAAGAGCCACAGCATGATTTGACGAGCTGACGGGATTCAGACTTCTTACTCAACAACTCATTTTATGGCAGCACTCGCATTAAACACAAGCAACAGCTGTCAAATTGTACAGTACAATAGTAGCATACGCTTTCAGTTTCCAAAAAAAAGGCCTTAAATTAAAATATAAATATGCATAGGCATTCACACAGTTAACAAACTGACTGCTCCAAATTTAGTGCAAAAACGCATAATCGCACCGGCAAGCCTGGATTTTTCGCAGCCCTTGAGTTTCTGCCATCTGTGAAAGTAAGCATTTGGAGTGCTTCACCGTCGGTACAAAAATTTTCCGTAAATCATCAGCAAGTGTGCTGGTAAAGGCTGCTCAGGATAAAATGTTGCCTTGCTTCACGTTTTCGCCAGCTCCCCTTTTTCAGGCTTATATAAAGAGTGATTACTGTACTGGCCCGGTGTAGAAGTCTCCAGTACGTGGTTGGGCATCGGTTTGGGCATTTTTGATAGTTTGCAATTCAGCACTGTTTTCTGGTGAATTGTAATTTCTAAATTCGTCTACACATTAGAGATTTGTATTTTCTAAAAGTTTCAACCAAGTATGTTACTGTGAAAAATGTGGTAAGTAGTGGAAAGCCGCTTTCTTGTCATGCTTAATGTTCTCTTCTGAGATTTCTTTCTAAAATTACTTATGTTCGGCACCAAATGCCTAAAAATGCTGTAAAAAAAAAATTTATATACAATTCGCAGATCAAAAATTGCATATAAATGTCAAATCTTTTAAAAATGTGGATAACCTTATATTTCATACATACTTCGCATCTTCCTTTTGTTGCCGCCTTCCCCTCAGGCATAGGCTCACTACTGCACATCTGACACTGTAATCTGTGCTGCCAATCATCCGTAGCAGCAGCTGGGAATGTCCTTTACCACATTATGAGGTCAGCGAGGACATACCTTTGGAGGGGGCACACTGTTCTGCTGGCCTCCTGCTAATCGAAACTGTACCTAGCAGTTGATTTTCTCCTTTGTTTACTGCAACCGAACAACAACTGCGCCTTGCACCCTTCACTGCGGCAAATCTGATACCGATTTTCGCCATTGCGGAGCTGCGTTTCACATCTCTGAATTCTGCTGCTTCTTTACTGGCTTCATTCTTGTTTTGGGGGCTAAAAACAATCGTGCAAGCTGTTCGAGGGTTTACATGATGCAAGCAGAAGACGTTTTCTGCGCTCCCAAACCCATCAAAGTGAGTTTTGCCAGCGAGTGGTTGTTTTTGGCATCTGCTACGTTTGGAACACGTTATCCTGACCTTTTGTGTAATTCTAGCCTGGAGATGTTTTTTTATAAACTCGCCCCGTACTCACACTCTATGAGAAGCGGAAACATTCAGAAGTATTCCGAAGTAGCAAATGCCAACAGCGACCACTCGCTCACAAGGCTGTCGATGGCTTCAGAGGTTGCATGATGGCCAGTTTGACTTCCATGCATATGCTAGTACCAATTTAACATCGAAACGAATAAACAAGACGTTGGGGGACTAGTCATCCCGTCGACGGGGTCGAAGCCTCAGTCCGCTGCACGACAGCGTGGTACTTCTCACTGTTAATCGTCTCTTTTTTATTCCTCTTTTATGTGAGCGGCCTTTTACTGTTTTAACTTGCGTTGCTTGTGCATATGTGTATGAACGTGTACTTTTCCGTGCATAATTGACTGGCCTGTATGTCCAGGTACAAATGGAACGAATGTCTATTTTTCTTATCTCGCCTTAATAAATGAAGCTTGAGGTGCTGAATGAGGACTTTTTGATCTTTTAACTTTCCGTTTAATAAGAAATCTCTGTTTTCGGTCTGTCAGTGTAGCCGATATTGGTCAGTTGGAGAGTGGCATGGGCTGAAAGTGACGGTCATGGGTTGGCCTCACTGGTCAGTATGTCGTAAGCTGTATTCCATCATAATAAATCGGTTGACTGGAAAGTGTGCCCATGAGCCGGAATGATTGTCATCGATCAGTTGCGCAGCGAGCGAATGGCTATTGGCGTCATCTGTTTCCGGTTATTTAACGCACTGCCAGGTTTGTTTGGTGCTGACCAGCTTTGCTTTGACTTTCAAATTACTTTAACTCATCCACGTATGCTTCATGGCCCAGAATTATGCCAGAGTTCGCAGTGGCGAAGCACTTTTCTCATACAATACGGGTGTGCAAGCGTACGTTTATATGTGTGTGTGCGTGTGGGTGTTTGTGTGTGAATATATTCGATGCAAAAAAGCCCAATAGAACACATGACTTTGACCCGCGCAATTCTGAAGTGGTGACTGGATGACCACTGGATGCGGGTCTGACCAAGGAGCATCATCAGTGGACGAGAAGCATTCGCTGGACCGATTTCTGTGTGTGGGTGTTTGTGTGTGTGTGTGGGTGTCTGTGTACGTGATGGGTGTTTGTGTGGGCGTGTGGGTGCGCGTGGGTGTCTGTATGTGTAAGTATTCGTGGGGGGTTATATATGTGCGTGTGTGTGTGCTTGTGTGAGTGCTTCTGTGCGTGAGTGGATGTATGTGTGTGTGGGCGTTTACGTGCGTGGGTTTTTGTGTGTGTGGGTGCCTGTGTATGCGGGCATTTGTGCGTGTGTGGATGTTTGTGTACGTGCGTGGGTGTCTGTTTGTGTGCGCGTGGATGTGTGTTTGTGTGCGCGTGGATGGATGAATATCGGAATCGTCAAAAACTGGTTATCGCTCGCTATTGTGCGGACGAGTAGTGCCACTAGGGCCACGTATAAACGTGAACATCAGGCAAATACAGCGGAATTTAGCAGATGGCGAGCAACATCAGATGGGCAGCGCTTTTCACGCACATGCAGCAGCAGCAGCAGTAGCAGCAGCAGCAGTAGTAGCAGCAACAGCAGCAGCAGTAGTAGCAGCAGTAGCAGCAGCAGCGCGAGATGGATTTTCTGGCAGCGGGACTGGGGTGACCCCTAGCTCAGCACGACGGGCTGTTGCTATTGCTGCTGTCCAGTTTTGCTTGCTTGGGGATCGCCGCCCATTCACAGGCAGCAGTCCTGCGTGTTCGGCAGCGCTGAGTCCCGGTCCCGGGATGGTTGGATGCTCATGGGTCACGCAGTTCGACAGGGCTCGAGCTGCTACGACCACGTGAGGTAGCGGCCCTCACCCTGACCTGTACTGCCTGGCCCAAAATGCGGCCAGCACGTCACGTTCCGCGTCGATAACACGTGGCATAACACAAAGCACGTCGTTCCCGTGGGTCTTGCAACGAACTTGCTCTCGTTGTGTTATATATATGTGTGTGTGCGTATGTGAAAAGTGACGCAGCGCGAGACGACGTTTGGCTATTTAAGGGGCCGTGTCCTGGCCACATTTGGATTCGTTTCGTTTTTGCCTCTGCCAAGCGGCGGCGGCGGCGGTGTGCGTGGTTCTCTGTGCTGGGCGTCCACAGTGGCCTGTGAACGCTTCCAATCAGGTTACTGTTGTTGTGTGCTGTGTTAAAAGATTTCAGTTTGGGGTTCGTTGGCGCTAATTTGTTACGTTCAATTTCAGGGTTCCACTCACAACATTCCAAGTGGTTAACTCATCAACACTACTCAGCAGCAGTAGCAGCAGCAACAGCAACAGCAGCAGCAGTAGTAGCAGCAGCAGCAGCAACAGCAGCACGGGACATCTACTCATGGCTTCTGGTACTTTATATTTTTTGGCTTTTTCCATTACTTTTTGACTTTTTGCATTGCTTTTCGGATTTCTCGTGATGTTGCCGGTCCAGGTGGTGCACACGGTCATTTTTGCTCAACCGTCATAAACTGAATGGATATGGGATGCTTGCTCCACACGTAGCGTTTTGCACTTGGCGAGCCGCTGGACATTGCCTGAAAAGAGCGGAAAAAAGCTTACTGGCTGGATAAATTGACCACTTGCATGCGGAGCGGTCAAGAACTGGCTGGATAAAGTGACCACCTCCGTTTCGGCCTCTTGGGAAGCTCGTCGCGAGGGCTATCAACCCCATTTCCTTTTTGAGCAGAGCCCAACGATACAGCGAAGCCAACTTTGTTCATAAGGGGTGAATGGAATCGAAGCGTGGGTAGACCTCGTTTCAGTTCACAAAACAAGGGGGAGGGGGTCCAATAGCTGGGATGCTTATTTTTGGTTGCTGTGCACCTAGTTTCTTCTCAGTTTGGATCTGTGAATTGTTATTCGGGCGCAACACGCTTCCCCCGGTACTTTCGCGGGCTCACAGCATGCGAATTGCCTGAGCGATGTTTTTGTGCCCAAAAATAGATTGGCTGACCGTTCAACGAGACACGTATTTCAGCTTCAACTTCGCCACCGACCACACCACTGTGCCGCTATTTCGCTAACAATGTTTGCCGTTACGGATCATCCTGTCAGTTCTCGCATGATCGCAGTGCACCCCCCGATCGAACATGTCGCTACTTCCTTGCTGGACGATGCGTTTTTGGCTCGGGCTGCAGGTATACTGCTTTCCCGTAAATTCATGCTGCAGATGATTGTTAAGCCGACTACAGCATCCAGGATGACCCCGGAAACCTAAAAGGCAAAGGCACGATAGATTACAGCATGAAAGAACAATATAAGAGAAGGTAAGAGTGAGATAAGACGTTTCGTTTCATTAAGTCATACACGTCTTAACACGGCGCGATAGGGCTTCGTCAGTATGACGGTCGCAGTGCTTAATGGAAAAGGAAAAGAGAAAAACAAAAGGAAAGAAAGGGAAACGCCATGATTATGGGATTAGGACGGGGTGAAAACGGAAAGGAAAAGGAAAGAGGGTTTAAAAAAAGTTTTAAAAAACGTATTAAAAAAAGGATTTTAAAATAAGTGACCAGCGTACCGACTGCCGGTGCGAGCGTGCGTTTTTTGCGTAGTTCTCCGCAGGTTTTTATCGTTTATGGCACCGATTTATCCTGCAGATGATTCTAGCTAAACGAATTGGGACTGGTCACCAGGATTGTCAGAAAGTATCCCCTTAAAATTACAGCCTTCTAGCTTTTCTTTTTCCAAGTTAACAGAAAAAAACTTTCCTGAACCCGTAGTTGGGAACCCTGTATGTCCGATGACCGGGTTTGAGCTCATTAACACCTACTTGGACGGGGAACATCTTAAAATTCTACTCTTCTAGCTTTTCGGTTTCCCGAGCTAGCAACTTACCCGTAAAAAACTTCTACGGACCCGTGCGTAGGAACCACGCATACCCCAGCACTGGATATGAACTCATTAAGACTTACTTGGACGGGGAACACCCCCTTAAAATTTCAGCTTTCTAGCTTTTCTGGTCCCCGATTTAACAGCTTGCCCATCAAAAACTTTGACGGGCCCATACGTGGGTACCACGCGAGTAGGAGCGCCCATTTTTAGGGAAGGGGCCCGTACATGCATGCAGATTAACTTCCCGAAGTTTCAGTCCTGTAGCTTTCGTAGGTCTCGAGATGAAAAATCGGTACAGACGAACGCACAGACAGACACACAGACAACCCCTCGTCATTATGCTTTTTCTGCGTTGCATAGATGCAAAAAATGCATAAAAAGGGTTAATAGAAAGATTTAAAAAAGAACGTTTGCGAACCTCGATCATGGAGGTTTTACTGCTGAAACAATTGTTCGTAGAACCTTCGTCGCTGCAGGTGGTAAGTTGAATCCAGAAAGCATTTCTCGCTTTTCCGCCACCGTCAGAGAAATCACAGAATGTGACCGATTTAGCAGTAGGAGAGAATTTTATTGCAATTTCTCCCTTAATTTCGTCAAATGTCGGTTTCGCTGGCGCAAGTGCATTTACGCCAATTGATTGCCTTGTCACCCTAATAATGATAATACCAATAATAATGTGTTATCAGTTTTCGGTACCACGGCCAATTTGTTTGATTTCATAGCAGGCACGCTTTTTTTTTGTTGTGATTTTGGGAATTGACTAAGTGGTGAGAAGTAGGGTCATGGAGCATCTTGGCGCTGTAAAGTTTGCATATTTGGTACTTTTTCGCAGTGATGTAGTTGAATAAAGATCCCGTAAATCACAAAATTCCCAAAATCGCAAGCTCTCGGTGCAGTAAAGTTTGAAAATTTGGTACTTTTTCGTAGTGATTTAGCTGGACTTTACAGATATGATCATCGACGTCCATCATCTACTGATTCCGGAATGACTGCAAATATGGCTCCGTGTAACCCTGCTGGTACTACTGACTCAAAAGTGCCGGCGAACGCTTCGCGGCGTACTGCCGGCATAGCTGATTCAAAAGTATTGACGAACACTTGTACTGCTACTAGCACTACTGATTCACGAATATTGGCCGACACTATTTCGCATACAGTTACTTCCAGTGACTCACGAATGGTGCCGAACACACCTCCACCTACTGTTCCAGCCACCATTGCAGCTCCTACCGGAGACCTTTTTGAAGGTTTTTTTTTTCTTAGCTTTTTACTGAATCGTTAGCTAATGCTCGGTCTCTGCTGTGATCCGATCGCCCAGGCTTGTTCGTGCTTGGTTGCTCTCGATTTTCGTTGTTTCTTACGATTTCTGAGTTGATGATCACGTAAAATCGGTTTTTAGCCTCTTTTCAAAGCCGTATTCCTTAGCCTTACTCTCGTGCAAAGAAGATACCGAGTACAGGAAACGCACATCCAGTGTTTTCTGCAAAGGCGTTGTGTATCACTGCAGGCTCAATCTTCATTCATTTTTAAGTTTACCCGATTTTTCTTGTTTTGAATTTTTTCAACGCTAGCTGCTACTTCTGACCGTCGGTGTAGCTTGCGCTGGCATTTCCATTCTTTTTTTGCTCCATACTGCCTGCATCCATGTGTTGTCCTCTTCCCATTACACCCAGGCGATAGTGCTGGCTGCACTGGCGAAGTGCCCGTAACTTGCTGACACCTTCCATGAGTTAGTGCTTTTTGCGTAGCGCCAACCCGCGCCATTTCCCTTGCTCAGCAGCTGAGGTATCTTATGTGTCATTTCTGTTCCAAAGAACTGCTAACACGGTAAGGTTAAAAATTGTTGCTCTTACAGTAAGTACTAAATTAAGAGAAAGCTATATATATATGTATATGGTACAGTGCTCTCACACAGATGGGGCATAAAGTTTAGTTGATTTCGATGGATGATTTGTGTGATGATCAGTGATGGCGATTAGAAAATGAGCGGTGCTGTGCCCCTGCTGTGTGTGTGGAAGAAGTCGAGTGAAGGAGCACTGCATTTGTTTTGCAGGGGGTGAAAGTTTTTCTCTGTTTTTTTTTTTTTTTCTCTCGTTGGAAAAAGATTTTATCTTGGCATCATTTTACATTGCTTCTGGCAAACATACCAGTTTTTGTTGGAATCATGGTGGCCACCACATATCCCAATTTTTACTTTTTATCTATATCTAGATGCTTGAAAAAGTGTAATATACTCAGAGGTTTGTTATGAAAAATGAGAGAGCAGGGTGATCGGAGGTAAATGCTTGAATAGGTTTCCCGTCAAATGGTACAGTTTCAAATATGGAAAGTGTTGAAAAGATACCAGTCGCATCGACAGCATGAGGGAGGGGAAGGGAAGGGCGGGGGTCCGG